TATATATATGTATATATACACACACAAATTAGCAGAGAACACGTCCTGAATGAGCTAACTATGAGATTCACACATCATTCAGATGATGCTGGTTTGCTCTCCATTGTATGGTACAACACCAAAAACACCTATAGTAGAGATATTCATCGAATCTTGATACACTAACACCAAACCTCCCTGTCGACTCGTTTGTGAACTCAGTAACTAAGTCTCTGGGTGAAAGGGTATTTTTTTCTTCTTTGTAAAGGGGAGAACTTTCAAAATGACAAGACCTATAGAGCAGCCAGCAGAAATATCCATTTATCTAGCCAAACATCGTCTATACTGCTTTAAACAGGGTTCTCTTACATATAGATGACAGTGTTTCTCAGTCAAACATCTTTATTCGCCATAGAGCAGGGGTGCCCAAACTCGGTCCTGGAGGGCCGGTGTCCTGCAGAGTTTAGCTCCAACTTGCCTCAACACACCTGCCTTTAGGTTTCTAGTATGCCTACTAAGAGCTTGATTAGCTGGTTCAGGTGTGTTTAATTGGGGTTGGAGCTAAACTCTTCAGGACACCGGCCCTCCAGGACCGAGTTTGGACACCCCTGCCATAGAGCATTAATGTTCTTCGTTTCATGCACGGTAATTCTTTCCCCTCCTGCGCGCGGTTCTCGCTCTGTGCGGTCGACCCAGCGACGGAACACCTGCGCGGGTCAGTCGTCTTCCAAGTCGTCGCCCTCCGACTCCTCTCCAGCTCTCCGTTCGTACACTTTATCTCTGTGCCGCTCCTGGATCTCCTTCATCTCCTCGGCGTAGCGGCAGAACGCTCCGCCGAACTTGCTCCACGCTTTGAAGGGTATCGTGATAGAGTTTCTGTAACTGGGCTTCACCTCGCTCACCCGCAGAAACACCCCGTACTTGTTGGAGCCCACGTCAAAGAAGAACCGCTTGGAGTCCACCGTGATTGACGTGCCCTCGGGGAGCTCCCCGTAACCTCCGGCGCAGCCGCCGCCGACCAGGTCCTCGTCGTCCCCGCCGTAGTCGTCGATCAGCTTAGCCAGGGCGTCGCGGAACTCGATGAGACCCTGAGCTGGAAGGGCAATGGTTTGCCCGGATTGCATGCCACCCCCGGGCACACCTCCTCCGACGCCAAAGCCACCAGGCCCGCGGTTGACGGTCTGACGGATCCGGAGGAACCTCCCCCGCTGGTTCTCCTTCAAATCGAGGTAGTATTTGCGGTTTTCCCTCACTAGGAACTCGCTCTTCAAGGCCCGTCTAGGCCCGCCGTCCTCGCCGCCGGAGGACTGAGCGATCTGCTCCGGGGAGCTGGGTCCGAGCTGGGCGTAGTGCTCAATGAAATCCCCCAGGTAGTCCCGAAACTCCGCCGCGACTGACATGGAAAGTGTCAAGCGACTTTTGGAGCCCCCAGCGCCGACCTCGGCGATCTTGATGAACCTGCCCTTCGAGTTTTGCTTCACGTCCAGATAGAAGCGCTTGTTTTGGATGTCAAGTCGTTTGGACGCCAGCTCCTGGGTCTCTTGATCCCTCTGGAAAGGCTGGACTCCGCTTCCTCCGCCTCCGCCGCCGCCGCTGCTGCTGCTTCCACCGCGCTCACTCCCACTATCCCCATCCGCCATCTTCACCATCACCCAGAGCTGCGTTTTGTTTTCCCACCCGTATTTCATCAGGTCCCGCCTTCACGGCATGAGAACGTCGTATGAATGGCCCATTGCTCTGGAACGTCACCTCCTTAGGAACATCTTGGATTGGGCGTTTGACGTGTCAGTCATAAATTCGCTTCTCCAATTGGGTCGCAACCTGTCCGTTATGCGAGTAACCACCGAATCCTCATTCTCTTTGGCTCACTAGGACTGTCTGTCAAAGTGTAAAGCGCACCCTATTGTTTTGACAGTACCATGGGCGATTGGTGTACAGCGGTGTCGATAAGGTGTTAACACAAGCACTTTATTGCAGATAACACTTGGCCTTTCCAACGGTACATGGAGAATAATCCAGGGTGCGAACTACGGGGGAGCTAGGGGGAGCTCGGCTCCCCTTAATAAGACATGGGCTCCCCTGAAGCGCACGACCCCTCACACCCAGTATATACAATATACGGTTTACTGTCTATTGTGTATTGTTTTTTACATATTTATTTTTACTCACTTATTTTTATTTTGTTATCTGTGTCTTGTCACTTGTCAACCTGTCTGTGTACTGGAAGCTTCTGTCGCACACTTGGCAATAAAGCTCTTTCTGATATATATATATATATATATATATAATTTCATGCTAACTAGCACTTGCCTTTTTTACACATTGTATAAATGTTTTTATGCACAGAAAATATACAAACGCGTTTATGTTTTCTCATAAGTAAGGGTGTCATATAAGAGGGTCCTTTACATTAAAAAAAGTTTCAAAGTCCCTGACTTGGTGCAAATAAATTTCCGTTAGTGCATATAGTATTAATCCTCAGCGATTTATTATTAACCAAAAATGTTTTAACACTTGATTTCGCCTCGTGTAACATAATTACGATTGACAAAATTATAGTTTGATTAGAATTTTTATTTGGTTATATAATTAATCTTAGTCATTTACATTACGACTTTTAAGTAGAGGTTAAGTGCTTTCTGTACAATTTCAGGCAGTCACTGTTAAGTCCCGCCTACGTGCTATCTGTACATCGATGGGGGATGGTAGAAGCAGATACATGCCGAATTCTCATAGGCCTTCCCGAAATTCGAACCAACAACAGACATTTTGATTGGCTAATTCCACCGATCGGTCTGCCTCGAGCGTTCGCTGCTGAACGGGCCGGGGTTTATTGTTCCTCCGAGTCAAGAGGCGAAATAGATTGTAGACAGACCTCCCCGGATCCCATTCAAAGTAATACTTTGCTGAAATGGTATGTAATGCTTCAATACTGTTCCGTATGACTGTTTTCTATAACTCGAAATGTCCCTCCTTTTTGTTTTAGCTTATTTGTCGTCTTTTTAAAGATTCTGCCCTAGCTCTGAGCTAACGCTGGTTGGATTTTGCTCTTGCTAGCTCGCGGGAGTAGCTCGTGCTAATAGCCGTTTTGTAGTTACTCGTAATTTAATCACGACGTATGTGGTCCCTGTTTAAATGATTAGCGTATTGAGCCTGACTATCGTTTTGATTTGAACGGTTTTGTTGATAGACGTCGCAGCTTTTGTGAAATTTCTCCAAGCAGGATAGCTAAGCTAAACTCTATCCATTAGCGGCAGTGTGGAGCTCGCGCTGATCAGTTCACATAAACTTTATTTACTGTAACTGTACAGTTCTTCAGAGACCACCGACTCCTGAGAATTGCGTTAGGCATTTTGTGTGTGTGCAGGTTAATGTCAGAAACACTGATAAACTGTATCGTAAGTTTAGCGTGGCAGACAGTCATATGAGCGGGAGATTTACGTTACCTGCTTTAACATGCTGTTAATCGACTCATTGGCCTTCATTGAAGTGGCAGATGGCATTGCTGAAAGTTTTTAGGTAAACTTTAATTCATTTGAAGGAAAAGCAGGATCGCATTCCTAATGGATGTTTTAATCATACCTTCTGGGCGGGAACGGTGCAAAGTGCCAAGAGAACTGGAGTATTTTCTCCAAAACCCGCATTTATTATTATTTTTTTTGTGTGTGTGTTTAGAGCTAAAGTATTCCGGTAGTTAGTTACTTATGAGTAATACATTAAAAATAAATGTTTTGATGACTTGCACAATAGTAGACACACGTAACTATGACACGCAGTTACATATATATATTTTTTACATGTAAAGAAAAAAAAGCATTATTGTGTAAATATACTGTATAAAATTTAATATTCTGCAATATGAAATTTGCGTGAAATTAAATTGCATGTAATTTTGTACATATAAAAATGAAATGTAAAAGATACACTATGCATTTTAGTAATATATTGTTACATATCAAAATTACTCGTTACATTAAATATGTTAAAGGAAATTAAGTTTTGTTAGTAAAAATGTTATATATTCTGCAAATGTTATTTTTACATTGTACATTTATTTTTTATGTAATTTAATTTTTCTATGTGAATTGTAACATTTTACATATAGAAATTAAGTATTACATATTTAATTTTTATATGTGAAATGCATTGATATGTTTTATTTTTCAATATGCTTTAAATATGCTGAAGGAAATACAAATGGTCTCATACTGTTATTGATTATTCTGATTGGTTTGTGCACTGAAATGCTTGAATATGTTTGTATCTGAGTCTATGTATTGTTTTGTAGGCAGGAGGAAAGGCAGGTAAAGACAGTGGCAAGGCCAAGGCAAAAGCAGTGTCTCGCTCACAAAGGGCTGGACTTCAGGTAAGCCTCTTTTTTTTTTTCTTCTCTGTGCTGGTTTTACCTTGTTTAAATGTCCATTTGTTAGATATCCTTCAGTCAGATGGGTGTAGTTGAGGAATTTGTTAGGTCACAATTGTCAAAGAAAATGTCGGATACTACTTTCTAAGGGAATGCATATCTGAAATTTGTAGTTCCCAGTGGGTCGTATCCACAGGCACTTGAAGACCCGCACTACAAGCCATGGTCGTGTGGGAGCAACAGCAGCCGTCTACAGTGCAGCCATCCTTGAATATCTCACAGCTGAAGTAAGATTCTGTGCCACTCACTTTCAATACTGCAAAGCAAATTAATGCAGATTTGTAGCACGCTACTAATCGTGTTTAATTCTTGTCGTAGGTTTTGGAGTTGGCAGGAAATGCTTCAAAAGATCTGAAGGTGAAGCGTATTACTCCTCGCCATCTACAACTGGCCATTCGTGGAGATGAGGAGTTGGACTCCCTCATCAAGGCAACCATTGCCGGTGGTGGTATGTTGGAGTTTAATTTCTTTTGTGCTGGTTGCAAACATGCTGCTCTCTTGACAAATGAGGATTTTAAGCACTTGTATGTTTGCTGACTTCTTGTAGGTGTGATTCCTCACATCCATAAGTCCCTGATTGGTAAGAAGGGCCAGCAGAAGACTGCGTAATACCTGTTGGGGTCGCTATGCTGACATGGACTCAAGGACTTGCGTTTGGGATGTGTGACCAGATCGGCTTGTTCATCCGTTCATCCATTCTCTTTTTTTTTTTTTTAAGTTAATATTAATGTTATACTAGCTAACCACAAGTGATTTGTAGAGTTTTGTGTTAATGTTATATCGCCAAAACTAGAATGGCAAATAAGCCCCGCCCCCCTCAACCCAAATGTCAGGTATTTTAGAGAGACAAACGGGAAGAGTCTGATCTTTCCTGCTGTGGCAGTGGAATTGTTTGAATTGGCCAGACCTATGGAGCTGTTTTATACTGAAACATGGAAATAATAAAAACATTTTATACAAAACAAAAAATGTTGTTTGTTCTTTTGTATTGTCTACCTTGGTCTTCCATATTTCAAATATGTCTTAATGTTTGTGGGTGACAATGTGAACCAGGATTGTGTTATGTGCAATCACATTTAAACCTATATATACAGAGAGAGAGAGAGATAAATACACTTCAGCATACATATCAATATCTATATAAAAAAGTAGTAATTTATGTATATAAAATATTTTAATAAAAGTTCTCATGTCCACTTGTTTAGAGCTTGTTAGTAGTAGGATATGTATGGAAATAATTTACTTTAAAGGGGTCATATGTTGTTAAAAAGAACATTATTTTGTGTATTTGGTGTAATGAAATGTTTATGTGGTTTAAGGTTCAAAAACACATTTTCCACATACTGTACATTATTGTTTCTCCTCTGTGTCCTGCCTTTCTGAAACGCGTCGATTTTTTGCACCTGTGTTAGTTAAAGCATATTTCACTCTGAAATACACTGACGCGTTTAACAGTAAATCCTCCAAGTGGGTTCTTCTGGATTTTCTACATAACCAGACTCCAGTTATGATAGAGAACTGGCGGATGCACAAGCACCGATTTATTGCCTACCTAATATCGTTTGTCCACATGAACCCTTTAGGTACCAAATTAATCTAAAGGAAGTGTTTGTAGCATCACAAAACTAAAAACATTCATACAGATGCAGAATGATGGTTTTAAATGTCCCATACAGCTGCAGCAAGGTTAATATTGTTAATCTGACCATGCAGCGCGCGTGTTTGTGTGTGCTTGTGTGTGTTAGACCTCACTGTTCTGCTGCGTCATGTTGCATATTACATACGCAGTCAATCTGTGTGTGCGTGCAAGACTGAACAGTTTTAACCTGGGAATTAAAACAAGATCTCACACACGACTGCAGGCTTTGAGTTATGGGACATCTGCAATGCAGAAGCCTATATATAGCAGAGCGATGGAGGGAGGGGGCTGAGGACAAGATACAACATTATCAATGGAAAAGTTGCCAGTCCCACAAATATTATTCAGTACTGCAGGTTTTTAGTGCTTCTTTGAAGTTCTATTTTAAGCTAGCAGTCCAGAGTCATTGCACTGGTAAACATCACCATGCAATGATGGAGATATTTTTGTTATAATGCATAATGAGTTTTAAAAAGGTGATTAAAACATATAAATATCTAAGTCACAAAATTAAAGTATTAATATGAAAATTGTGCATATCATTTTTTTAAATAATTAATAATAAATGTTCTTATCATGTGCCCTTGTGTTTAGTGCTTAGTTTCCTGCATTACTTCAGCAATTAATAAATATCTCATTATTATTTATTGTTTTGCTCTACATTTGAATGTATAATCATAACCATTAATGTTCACTGAGATTATTTCTGGCACATAATCATTGCTGAGATGAAGCTGTCTTTTAATAATTTAACTGATTAAATATTTCAGGACTTCTTTTAGCAGGAAATGGATATGCTTAGTCAGAGTACTCTACATTTGAGTTGGTGGTTGACCATCTGCAAAATATGTTC